AAGCTTTTCCCTAAGTTACTTGAAAAGAGTCTTGGAACTACAAATACTAGAAAAACGTGATAAAAGTACTTAAAAGCAATTAAAAACATAAAAAACATATTTCAAAATGGTCCATAAAAGTGGTCAATATACGGTGTTATCAGCCAACAAATTTGTTTATGGACTCCTTCAATAATGGGCCAATGAGATGGGCCACTGATTTTGTACTCGATCATAGCCACTGATTCTCGAAACTCTAAACCCAAAAGCATCTATCGCATTATATATACCTTTATTGCCTACATATTTTTTTAACGTACAAAAATCGTCTTCTGGTAGTAGTCAATGCTTTTTCTTTTTTTCTAGCAATCTTCTTCTTTATTATTCATAAAACTATAAGTTGTTAGTTTTTCTTGATTGCTTTCTTTATTGTTCATAAACTTATAATCTCTTTTTTTTTTCTAGACGTCTTCTTCTTTATTGTTCGTATAACTATAGGTGATTCGTTTTACTTGATTGTCCTATGTGTCTTTATTAAAAAAATTATGTGGCGTTTTAATTAGTGCTTATAGGTCGATCATTAATTCTACGTGTAAATACCCGTGACATGGATTTTTTCCTTCATTATGGGCCAGCGATTTTGTTTGTGGGCCACCGATCTTGAAGTCGGCCCTAGCCATTGATTTGGGTTATGGGCCACCGATATCAAAGTCGGTACTAACTTTAATCCTAGCGTATCCATCGTGCTATATATACTCCTCTCAGTTTTCATCATTTCTGACATACAACATCCGTCTTCTAAGGTCTAGCATTTTTAAAAAAAATTCATCCACGTCTTTTTAAAAAAATTGATATATACTATTATTTATGCATTTTCGTAATGACAACCTACTATTTTCTTATAGTTCATATTTCGCTGATTGAATATTTCATCTCTCGCCTTACAATAGTATTTTCAGGTAAATAAAAATTATGTTTTTTTATTTTAATTGATGTTTTAAATGTTTTTTCTGCTTCTAGACATTCTTCATATGTAAATCTATTGCCTAATAGTTCTTTCCTTCAAAAATTTTATGAATTTTCTGAAGCAGCTTTGTCCCCTCTGTGATCCCAGATTTTGCCAAATCACATGCCTCCATCTCAAATCGTTTTTACAGAATATGAACATTTTTCTGCCGATTTTTACTACTGTAAATTTACAGGTTGGTTGAAGTGTAATTATGACTATCCTAAAGCCATATCATATATGTGTTCTGAATTTCCGATCCATTGGGTTTGGGATCATAAAAACGTCAATGGCATCCTCTTCTTTGCGGCAACTCCAGACCGAGTATTATAGCCAAATGTAACCCTAACGCTGGTGAAGCCTACTACTTGAGAGTTTCATTGCATGTCGTTCGCGATCCATGTTTTTATATGAATATAAAAATTAATGATGTTGTCCACCCTACTTTCAAAGATGCATGTCATGATTTGGGTTTAATTCACGAAGATACTGAGTATATCGAAGCTTTCTATGAGGCAGGTCAACGGGTTCCCACTCCTCTCTTCGAATGATGTACACTGCTTTGTTACATGCAGGTTCTATGCCTTTTGTGATTGGAGATTCATTCAATGTTTTTAGTATAAGTTTCGTCAATTCTTTGCATTGTATTTGATTGTTTTTTCTTAATTATCTTATTTTAACAACTTCTTAGGGGGTGTTATTCAATCTGTATGTTGAAATCAACTCTACTAGATTAAAATAGATTAGATTTTAAAATTTTTTAATTCATTTAGAATCTAATGTATATGAGTTGTTTAAAATTTTAAGTTATTTAGCAGTGTATTTAGAAAATCACATGTTATCATTTAAAATCTAATAGAATAGAATTTTCAATAAATTTTGAATTTAAAAAATTCAAAGAAAAAAACAATCTAAAACCACATATGTACACGTAAAAAAAAAATTCATTTTCTGTGAACTTTTATCTCTTAAAAATGTGTTTTTTTTCTTTGATGACTTATGGGAAGAGAGAAGGGAGAGAGATATGTACTAGGGAAAAGAGAGAAATAGATAAATGAATGGGAAAAATAAGACGTGTGAGGAATAGAGAAATGGAGGGAAAAGAAAAAAAAATGGAGGGATGAAAGAGTGTTGTATTTGATTGATTAATACATAGAAGGAAGACAGAAAAAAACATAGGTGAATAATTATTTGTGTTAAATTTTATAATTATCAAAATCTAAGGGTAAAAGGTTGGATTTTGATTGTTAAATTTAACACATAAAAATATATTCAAATTCAGTTAAAATCTTTCACCTAAAATCAGTTGTAAGAATCTGTTAAACATGAATAACGTAAGATTTTAATTGACTTATTCAACTCTTTAATTGAATAACAAAGGATTTCAAACTCTATTAATGAAGAGATTCTAAATACATGAACCAATAACATTGGATTTTTATAGAGAAATCAAAATCAATTATTGAATAACAATGGATTGTAGATGGATTTAAACTCTATTAAAAACCATAATTGAATAACACCCCCTTAGATTTTTTCGTTGTGTTTGGATTTTAGTTATTTTCTCTAATGTACTTTCTAAATTTAATAATCATCAATAAAAATAAATGATTAAACAGATTTCTAATTAGTTTTTGCTAATTAATAATTTATGTATTGTTCTTGTTTTATCCATTCATAATTGTTATTTATTGTTATAAAAGACGTACATATATTTTTTCCTGATAAATCATATATACTGCTCTTACTTTTATTCACCTATAATTCTTACAACTTTGAAGTAGAAGTATAAAGAAGAAGATGTAGTTGATGATAAGAACTCAAAAAAAAAGATGAATTTGAATAAAACCATGGAGAATAAGAAGCAGATGAGAACATAAAACATTGAAGAAGAATAAGGATAAGAAAAAAAAGATGTTGGAGTTAAAGAAGGAATCCGGAAGAAAAAAATGAAAGATGAAAAAAACAAAGTAAAAGAAGGAGAAATGGGAAAATGAAGTAGCCAAGTAGGTGAAGATGAGAAAGAGATGAAGAAGAGTTTGATGAAGACCAAAGAGGAATAAGAAGTAGAAAATAAATAAGGCTAATAAAAATTTTAAAAAAAAAGAACTGAGAGAATACGAAGATGATGAAGAAGAAGTCAAAGATAATGATGAATATGCAAGAGAAGGGTGAGGAATAAGAAAATTGAAAGATACATAAGAGAAAGAAGAATAAAAAAGTACAAGTCAAAGACGATGAAGAAGAAGAATGAAAATATGAGGAAAAAGAAGATGAAGAAAACAAAAAGTATAAGTCAAAGATGAAAAATTTGGGGCAGCAAAAAAAAACAAAAGCCTTAAAATTGAAAACTGAAGAAGAAGACATATAAAAATAAAAATAAAAAAATAATAAGAAAAAATATGAAGAATAACTAAACCAAAAGATAAAGAATATGAAGAAAAGTAAAACAAAACAAAAGAGAAAGAAGAAGAAGAAGAAGAAGAAGACAAATCAGAAGAGAGAAATGAAATAGAAGTTGTAGACGAAGAAGAAGAGGAAAGAAAATATAAAGAATAAGAAAATTGACGTTGATAATAAAGAAGGAGGAAAAAAATGAAAAAGAAGACCAGAAAAAAAAGAAGAAAAAAAATTATGACATGACAAAAATATTGAAGAATAAGAAGGAAGTGGATGATGAATTTGGAGAAAGAGGAGATAGAAAGAAATTAAGTTAAAGTTTTCAGGGATATGTAGATGCTTCAGGGACATGTAGATGGAGAGAAAAAGAGAGAGAGAGAGAGAGAGAGCGTGAGGGGGATAAATCGAGAGAGAGAGGGAGAGAGAGAAAGAGAAATGGTAGAGAGAGTTAAACCTTATAGGAACATGATATTAAATCTATGATAGTTTGTATTTTCTGTATTTTTTTTTTATATTTGAAACACTTCTTACTATAAATGTAGTGATCTAAATCGTATAATATATACAGTTTAGGACGAAGGGGGAAGGAAGAGAATGAGAGAGAAATATTGAAATAGAGAGAGGGAGAGAGAGAGAATGATAGGAAGGGATGCATGGAGGTGAGAGAGAGAGTTAAAGTTTTCCAGTACATGTATTTGATTGATATAAAAAACGAAATAAAATATGAAGAATATGAAGTCGTGAGAACGAAGAAGACGAAGGTGATGAAGAAGAAAAAGAAGAATAAGTAGAATAAGAAAACTATGAGAAAAATATATAGAAAAGAAGAAGAAAAAGATGTGATAAAAAAAAAATTAAAGAATAAAAAGTAAGAAAAGACATATAGAATAAAAAGAAGAAAGACAAAGAAATAAAAGAAAATGAGAGAAACTAAAAAGAAGTCATGAAAGAAAAAGAAAAGATAAATATAGAAGATGATGAAGAAATATAAGGAAAAGACGATAAGAAAAACTAAAAGATAAATAAGAAGAAAAAAAAAGATCAAAAACAATTATGTGGAGACGAGGAACATGTCTTACTTCAATTGATATGTGAGTTCAATTACTTATTTAGTAAATATTTTTGTCTTTAGTTTTGGATAGTGTTTACTTTTTGGATTTGCTTTATATTATCATATATATATATATATGTTTTAAATAGTTGTTTTAATTCTTTAAAAATTTTCATTTATAACATTAAAATCTTTAAGCCCGTGCGGGCCAAACACCTAGTAACACATTAATAGTGAGATGAATAGTGCTGCAGATGTGTTATCGCAGAGAGTTTATGGAGATAATAATTTTGTTTTTGTTATATCTAATTCAGCTAAGTAATTATTTGTAGTTACCGTATATTTGCTGATTAATATAAGGTGTTAAATATATACGGTATGTTTTGGGCCTAAAACATTTTGAAGAAAGGAGTTTTTGATGATTTGGGTCTAAAACTTTTGGAAGAAAAGCTTTGAAGCCCATTAGTTTCTGTGTACAACATCGATATAAATTAAAAAACAAGAAATTAAAGTTTAACTGAAGCTACAAAGTTTTTAACTTTTAACTCGCCTCGACTTTCTCGTGCGGTGTCAAATCAAACTACTGTTCTCTCTCTCCTATCTGGTAAACTTTCCTCTTCGCCATGAAATTTGATGTTTTTTTTTCTAGGGTTTTTGTTTAAGCCCTGCAGATTTCTTCCGAAAAATTGGGGCTTTCTCAATTTCTCGTTTCTTCCACTTTTTTTTTCTCAGTGATTCGTGCTTAATTCAGTATCCATGTTCAAAGAATTTCACGAAATTAGGGTTTCCGTACATGTCACTGTTTGATTTTTAGGGGTTTTGCTTTTTGAACAGTCAAGAGGCACTCTTGATTTCCCAGCTCCAATCTTTTGACTTTGAATTTCTAAATTAGGGCAAGTTTCTTGGCCGATTCTGAGATAAAGGGCTTTTAAAAAAATCCAGTTTTTAAAAAGAATAGTAATTTGTGACAAAACCTGCAGATTAGGGTTTTTTTGGGGATATGGATTGTGAACGGTACAAGCTATTCGTTGGAGGCATACCAAGAGAGACTAGTGAAGAATCTCTGACGCAGTATTTCAGTAAATATGGAGTTGTGTTGGGAGCTATTGTTGCTAAGGACAAAGTCACTGGTCAGCCCAGAGGCTTTGGCTTTGTTCGCTTTGCTAATGCTGATGATGTTGATAAAGCTCTCAGTGATTCTCACCTCATTCTCGGTCAAGCCGTAAGTCAAACACTTCACTCTCTACTTATGTGTCCTGTCTTGTGTCACTTGTCTTGAGTGGGAATAGCTTTTGTATTTCAATTCGGTTTTGTAGATTTTCTTGATATGTTAAGTTGGTTTCGTGATGGTTTCTTGATGGTTTCTTGATTGATGAGAGATCAGTGAACACTTTGTTTGGATTTTTATTGGTTCTGCTTTCCGGATTGATCAGTATCTGATATCTTTATAATCAGGTCGATGTGAAAAAGGCGATTCCGAAACATGAGCAGCTGAGATATCAGCAACCGAACCTGCAACCATACGAGAGAAAAGTGCAACAGAACAATGGTGGTCTCCATGAAACGCAGAGTAATGGTAATAACATTAATAACCATAGGACCAAGAAGCTATTCGTTGGGGGTTTATCGTCTGAGACAACTGAAGAAGAGTTCAAGGCTTACTTTGAGAAATTCGGCAGGACGACCGATGTAGTTGTGATGCATGACAGTTTGACAAACAGGCCTAGGGGTTTCGGTTTTGTCACATATGATTCAGAGGACTCTGTTGAGATCGTTATGCAGACTAATTTCCATGAGCTGAGTAATAAACGTGTGGAGGTGAAACGGGCAATACCTAAAGAAGGAATCCAGAGCCAAAACCTTCCTCCTACATACAACAGCACCTTTCAAGCAACACCGTATGTCCCTGAGAGCAATGGTTATGGGATGGTTGTTCAGTATCCCCCTGTCTTTGGTTATCCTCAAGGTGTCCAAGGCCTTCACTATCCTTATGGTTACTCATTCACAGCTCAAGGGCCTAATGTTCCGGTTCCATGGAACAACACGATTATGCCAAACACCTGTTTTTACTGCCCACCTCTTCCTCTCACTGAGACTTCTTGTTATGTTCCATACATTAACGGGTTTGATCCTTCGGGTATGAGCATTGTTGGGTACAACGCAGTACCATCATGGCCTGTAGCTGGTGATGGAGCTCGTGCGATGATACCTCGTGAGGTGCCTAGTCATTCTCATAAGAGAATGAATGGAGGCAACATGGGGAAGCCATTGCCTAATGGTACATATAGATGATAGTTTCAGAATGATAAAATGCAGTTAGGCTCACAAGGTTAGTAAAATTCTTTGGACTCTTTAAATGGTTTTTTTTTAGATTTTCTCATCTTTCTTCTTCGTTAACTCTTCGGTGAATGTGTTGGTTGGTTTGGTCTCCCTTGTATATTACTTAGGTTTCCGATTTAACCCCAAAACATTTGTAATATATTACTGCATTTGTAATATATAACATACTGATTTCGTTCGACCTCTGTTTCTTTATGGGTTTTGTTCATTTTGTTTTCTTCTTTTATTATATGCTAGTAAATACCATTGGCAAATTCAAGATCAAATGCAGATAAAGAGATTAATTATGCAAATTAATAAAAAATATTAATTTTTCATGTTCAAGTTTAACTTAATGTTTTATTTTCTTTAATGAAATTTGCGGTTACATATCTGAATTCGGTGTAAGTTCCAAAGTTAGTATATCCAAGTTTTTAAAAACCAATGGATATCCCATTTCTATTGATAAGAAAGAACAATTCATTTTCGTTGTCCTTTAAACCAAAATATCAAAGTAACAAATAGTTGGAGATATCATACAAAACCTAACAAGTAACAATTACTGTTCAAGAAGACATTTTTAGAAGTTTAACAAACTGAAACAGTAGATATATACGCATGCATATCGTCAAAAGTTGTAAAGCACAAGCAAATATCTCGAGCAGAAAAAAAAAAAAAAGAGTAAATAAGACAATGAAGCTTCAAATGCTATGGCTCGCTCTGGTATTATTAGCCGTCGAAACTAATGCAGCGAAACAAATAAATAACACATCAATCCCAGCACTTATAGTGTTCGGAGATTCAATAATGGATACTGGTAATAACAACAATCTCCCTACTATTATGAAATGCAACTTCCCTCCTTACGGCAAAGATTTTCCCGGCGGCTCCGCCACCGGAAGATTTTCTGATGGAAGAGTTCCTTCTGATCTAATTGGTAATTGTTTGAGCCATTTTTAGATATGTTTATATAAAAAGAAGTATAACTGTTTGTTTATATCGTGACACATTTGTTTTAAACAAATTTATTTCAGCGGAAAAGTTGGGATTGGCTAAGACATTGCCAGCATATATGAACCCGAATTTGAAACCTAATGATCTTCTTAAAGGTGTAACGTTTGCATCTGGAGGAACTGGATACGATCCATTAACAGCTCAGATGATGGTATGTTATAATATATTTTTTCCATCATCACCGTTAGCTTTATCTTGTGGGTGATACATTTTCTATGATTTTAATTTTTTGTTTTTGTTTTTGTAGTCGGTGATATCCGTGTGGGATCAACTAACATATTTCAAAGAATATATTTCAAAGATCAAACAACATTTTGGAGAAGAAAAAGCTCAAAATATCTTGGACCATAGTTTTTTTCTCGTGGTTTCTAGTAGCAATGACCTTGCTCACACTTATTTACCTCGAGCTCATAGATATGATCGTACATCGTATGCAAATTTCTTGGCTGACTCAGCAGTCAAATTCGTAAGAGTAAGTATTAATCTACATTTGAATTTCTATATATAAACATTAAAAAAATATATCCAATACTAATTATCTTCTATTTAATATTTAGGAATTACATAAGCTAGGAGCTCGAAAAATTGGAGTGTTTAGTGCAGTACCTGTTGGATGTGTACCACTTCAAAGAACAGTGTTTGGAGGTTTACTAACAAGAAGATGTAATGAACCTTTAAACAATATGGCAAAACAATTCAACTCAAGACTTTCTCCAGCATTGGATTCTTTAGACAAAGAGTTGGATGGTGTTATCCTTTACATTGATGTTTATGATACTCTTTACGACATGATCCAAAACCCTAAAAAATACGGTAAGTTCATCATATATATATATATATATATAATTATATTTCCGTTTGTATTATATAGACGTGAACTATTTTATAAGTAAATTATCTCATTATGTTTCAGGTTTTGAAGTAGCTAACAGAGGATGTTGTGGTACCGGTTTAGTTGCAATATCGTATATGTGTAACTCATTGAATCCATTCACATGTACTAATTCTTCGGCCTATATATTTTGGGATAGCTACCATCCGACTGAAAGGGCTTATCAAGTTATTGTTGACACATTACTCGACAAATTTATAAGCAAAGTGTTGTGATGTAATCATCTAAATTTAACATATGTATATCTTTATGCCTCCTTATATTTCTTCACCTCATTCTTGCCTCTATGTATTTATTCATTCATTCTTGAATTTTTAATGCATTATTCAAATTTTACTCAATCAATTTATCAACTTCAAGTGCCATGAAGATAAAAATATTATACATATATACTCATTTATAAAATAATATATTTTCAAATATTTTACAAATCCTAATGTAAAACCAAAGTAAAATAAACTTTTTTTTCTTCATTGGAATTTATATTTGCTTTATAATGTTCATTGGTAATAAATGGCTTAATCGATAGTGGACATGAGTGAAAAATTGAAATCCTTTGTCGTCCAAATTAAATACTGGCACGTAACATGTTAAAATAGTAAAGGTTAAAAAAACATGTTAAAATAGTAAAATACATGTTAATTCGAGCATTAGAAACACGATATTTCTCAATGTGATAAAGCCTCGCTGCGACTTGCTGATTTCAGCGTTGGCTAATTTTTTATCGTTTGCTTTCTATTTTAGTTTCTAAAAAAATTATCATTTTAAACTTGAATAAGACTATGGAAGCTCCTAGTCCAATGGTCAACTAAGACTATGTCCAATTGTAGCAACTCTAAAAAGAATGTTTAAATATTATTTAATTATTAAATTTGAAATCATTTTTATTTTGTAACATGTGTGTGTTAGTGTTTAATAAGCACTACTGCTTACAACACTTAAATAAGCGTTGCTGCTACAATTATTATATTTTTGTGATTTAATTTTTTTTTAAAATTATCTAAATACTCTTTCTAAACAACTGCATTAAACATGTTCTAAATATTTCGTTAATGCTTTTACACCAAAATATCTGGATTTTAATTTCCACAAAATACAATTTCTGCAAATTATTAATAAAAACAAATTTATTATAAAAAAAAAATTCAGAAGCGACCTCTCTCTCCTCTACGACTTTTGACAGCCTTTAAGTAACCTCTACAAAGCAGCCTCCCTCTCCTCTCTTCTTTTTCTCTTAGTTTTTCCTTTTTCTAAGCCTCCTTGCCTCTCCAGAGGTTTGCTTTGCTGGAGAAAGCTTTCTCTTTTTATTTTTATTTGCTTTTCTCTTTTGGTCAGTGCTTCATCCTCGGTTAGTGCTCTCCTTCCCTGAGTTGGCGGCAGATCTGGAATTTTCAGCATAGCTGCAGCGGTTCGGCATGAGATTAATGGTGGTGGTGCTTTGCAGATCTCTAATCTGATGAGGACAAGATCGGGTGAAGCTTTCTCAAACACCGCGTCTAATCCTCTCGTCTTCTTTAAGGGTGTTCTCGGCGACGACTGTAGCGGGAGTGTTGAGTTTAGATGCGGCGGTTTGGGTTGGAAGCTTGAACTATTGGAAACTCATGAGTAAGACTGTTTGTTAGAGGGCACAGATGGGTTTGTGAAAGGAGCTTTTCCAATGGCGGCTGAACACGGCGACTGAGGTTTCTCGAGGATCTCTAGGCGTGGTATAGACTCTCCTCCCACTGGCGGTCTTTTGGGTTTGCTCCGGATCGGCTTTCTCCTCCATCCAAAAATTTTCTTGCTTCTTCTTCTCCTGAATCTTTTATCGCGAGGTTCAGCTCTCCTTTGATTCCAGTTTCAGGTCTTCCCGGTGGCTCATTTTCTTCTCGGTGAAATATGACGGCAGCTGTGAATGAATCGTTTTCGCTTAGGGTTACAGTGTTCCCGTTTTAGGCTGGTTTTGTAGCTTCTCTGGTTAAAGATTTAGATCTAAACCAGGCCCGTTTGGGTTTATTGGACTTTTTTTTTAAATTTTCTTTTTTGGTTTAGTCCATATGCTTTTGTAACTTTTAGAAAACCAAAAATTTATAAAAATGAAAGCCCTTTGTCAAAAGAAAAAAAATTTCAGCGTAGTGCAAGGAGAACCATTCATTGTGCTCTTACGCTATGTGGATTCAAGTGAAGTGAATAGAATGTCAGTTGAAAAATTGTTTTTGTAATAATTTTTTTTAATATAATTAAAAATATTTCAAATGGCAAAAAAAAACTTGAATCAGACTAGTCACAATATAATTTTAACAAAAATTTAGTTTCTCTAATATCTGCATTATTATTAAAATCTTGAACCAGAGTAGTCAGTAGCCACAATATAAAGCACTGATAATAACTTTAATGGAAACATAATAATGAGAAAATTTTCAAATTTTTGTAAACATGTTTACAAGAAAACATGCCATATTTCTACGAAAATTCCTACGAATATATTTGGTAGGAATATTTTTCACCAATTTCTTACATAATTATAATTATATATTTGGTAGAAATAGGTAAGAAATTTCCTACGAAAAGAAAATGTCAAAAAGTGGTAGGAGATACCCAACCAATAACCTACCAAATTTATATTCGTAAAAAATACAGTCAAAATTTGGTAGGAAAGCTGTAGGATCCAATTGAAAACTGTCCTACGGATTTCCTACGAAATATTATTTGTAGAAAATCATAGAAATTTTATAGAAAAATATGTCTTTTTGTTTGTCCCACATCGAAAAGTTAAGAATTTAGATGAAGAAATTGTACTATAAAAAGAGCAAAATTAAAAATTTTACGGATTTCCTACAAAATATCGTTTGTAGAAAAAATCGTAGGAATTTCGTAGGAAACTTATGTTTTTTTATTTGTCCCACATCGACAATCTAAGTTAATTTGGATGAAGAAGTTGCTCTATAAATAAGAGTCTTCACTTTCTCTCCCTCTAATTAATAATTATTTAGTCAAATTTTAGGCTCATAGTAATTAGACAATTTATTTTGTTTATATTTCATTAATCAAATTTATAATTAATTTATATTTTAATTTTAATTTAATTTCCGATATTAATTTAATTTTTGATTTTTATAAAATTATTTTGGTAGGAAATTAGTAAGAAATTAGTAGTAAAAGATTAGTAAAAAAATCGTAGGAAATAGGTAAGTGATGTTTCGTAGGAAATTGGAAGGAACACTAATCGATAGAAAATGGTAGTAATTTGGTAGGAAAGTATTACTAAAATTTCGGTAGGAAAACTATCCTACAAACATTTTCGTAGGAAATTTCCTACCATTTTGATACTTTTTACAATTTCCGACGGCCGATTTCCTATGACAAAATTTCGTAGGAATTTGGTAGGAAAGGGCTGTTTCCTACGTTTTTCTGACGATATTTTTCGTAAGTTTTCGGCATGTTTTCTTGTAGTGACAGCTTTAACATTTCCGATGAAAAATATTTGCATGGACATTGGCCAGTGGAGACTTCCATCAATGTCAGAAGAAGAAAAAACACGTTACAATTTAAATGATCAGGCTGCATTTACTAGACAACGCAAGAAAACGTATGAACTAGGACCCGTAAGCACAACATCAGTCCACTCAATGCTTCCCCAAATTTTATTATTACCATCACGTAATTCAAGCGCAATCACTGCACACAAAATATCCTTGTATCGACAAGGACCAGAATGACCAAAATTGTCCCATATGATTAAGAGATTTTCAATGCCTAGACGAATGAGATTTTCAATAGTTATATACTTATATACATATTAGAGCACCTTCATCAAAGGTTGATAGAGGATTTTGGTACCAGTAACCTAGGTACAAAACATTAAAAGAAAATGAAAAATGGCCCAATTTCTATCAACCTGTATGTTATATTGTAGTTTGTAGAACCCGTATGTTAATCGACGTGGCTGTTTCTAATTAGCTTGAGGAGTTGAGAAATTTTAATGAGAAAACAGAATTATTTTTTTCTCCATCATTTTTCCCCCGACCAATTTCTCAACCCATAAACTTTCTCTCATCTTCCCCGATATTTTCTCTTCTCTCATCTCGACGATTCTCCTTGTCGGCGAACACAGACTTCCGGGCAGCCATCGCCTACGGTCGAGTATCATCTCATCTGTCCAGGTTAGAGTGATTATATTCTTTGTTTTCGATTCGTCGTTGTTTAAAGCTTAGTCGAAATTAGGGTTTATGAAAATTGGGGGAAAAAGTTGAGTTCATCCAAAATCGAAACAAGCTGCTCTATTCAGTGTTAAAACGAAACAATCTGCTTTGTTGAGTGCCATATTCGATAAGTATTTCTGTATTTTGTCAATTTAATTTGAAATTGAAGTTAGGGTTCTTTCGAATTTGGGGGAAAATTAGGGCTTTTTATTAGGGTTATTTGGGGATTTTAATTATGATTATACCGTGTTCTCTGCGTTCATCGAAACCTATATATGTGCTAGACGAGTTGAATCCGAAATCAAAATTAGGGTTCTCTCAAAACTGGGGTAAAATTTAGGGGTTTTGATTGCGATTTGAAATGGTCTTGTTTTGTTCATATATATGTTAAGTGACATGTCTGTTAGGCAATAAAGTCGATGTGTTTATAACGAATTGGCCTTGTTTGTTGCTTGATGATATAGTCCATGATCTTACTCATATGCGTGTTGATAGTGATTGTGTACGTAGGCTTATGAGTGTTGTAGGTTTTGTGTATTTAGTCTTCTGCAGTTTGTATTGGTGTTGCTTGATGTTGGTGATATTGTTTGTGTACTTAGACATATGCGTTTTGAATTGGATTGTTTGATGCTTGTTGTGATTGTTTGTCTATATAGTTTTATGTTTGATAATATAGATTATGTGATATTGGTTGCTGATATTGTTTCATCTATGTGGGCAGAATATGCCGATTAGTGATGAGTGGAGATTTTGACTCATTCTAACTTGTGTTTACTGATTGTTTTAGGAGTTTTTGGAGTCTTTTCAGGAAGTTTCAGGTTACTTAGAGGCCTTATCAAAGGATTGGAGTGTTTAGGAGGCATTGGAGCAAAAGGAGATGAATTTGAGCAATAAGGAGCTATTTCACACGTTTTTGGAGAAATCATCCCCGGAGCACCTGCTCCCGGTTTGGACCCTTCGTGGAGCACCTGCTCCAGACGGGAGTAAAATAAGGAAATCGACTTTTACCTAATTTTAGGAGGAGAAAGAGAATAAAAAGTCGACAGCCGCCTGTGTTTTATAATCACGTTTTTCTACAGACTTTCTACGCTTTCTTTTTACAATTTCCTGGACCATAGAGTTTTTACTTGTAAGCTTTTGGGAGAAGAAATCTGCTACACTTTGAGAAGAATTCTGAACCCTATTATCTCTTCTGCGATTTCAATTCATGAATTCCTTTCCATCTGTTTCTGTGTTTCTTTTCTCCATGTCTGAGTAGATCTCTTAGCTAGATTAAAGCGTTCAAAGGATTTCATGAGTTAGAGGATTAGATGCAAATAGGGCTTGATATCTATTGTCTTCACCATTGTTAGACTTAATGCTTATGTTGAATTGATCACTCAATCTGCGATTTTAGGTTAATCTGTTCATCAAAAGTGTAATAGGTTGCTAGAATAAACATTGGTGAGCGGTTTGTCCTTAGCCAACGACAGTTGAAGTTAAGGCAAATCGTGATCAGATCAAACCTGCTAGCTAATGCTTGTCTGCAATTTTCTAGATTCAAACGACAGTTTAGGATTTAGGTTGTTAGACAAAGTTATCGAGATCACGACAGTGGATCGATAAGCTTTTCTGTTTGAGTTCGAGACTTGCGTTACACTTGTGCCTTGAATAGTCATCTGGTTCTTATCTCTGAAATTCCTGCGAATTGCTTTGGTCTAGTGCTTGTTTTAATTTGAATTTAAATCGTTGTTTGCCATTCTGTTACTTTTTAGTTTTCAAAACAAACCATCTTTCGTCTTAGCTTTAATTCAATCCTCACAAATTCATAGAGTAACACTGGTCCTCTGGATTTCGAATCCTTTATATTACAACTACATCATTGTTCTATTGCAGTAGAAACTAGGAGTACATCTAGTGAGAATCAATTAGCTCTAGTGAAACATCATCCAAAGCTCCAGAGATGGACATGGGATGGGCTTATGCCGATGCTATGTACGAGATCCCTGACAAGTGCTTTTGCGGAAAGCTGATGAAGCTTGAAACAAACCTTGAGGGCCGCAAGTATTACACTTGTCCTGACTACATGATAGATGTAAGTTTTTGTGTGTTGTTCTTGTTATGTATTTGTGTCAAAAGGTAGTTTTATTCATGTCTTCATTCGTTGTAGCTGACCGGTGCACACAAGGAAGTTTGGTGGGATGAAGCGGTCACCGAGCAAATCGATATCATTGAGAGACGGTTAAATGCTCAGAAGGAGCTCATTCTAAGTGAGAACAGGCCATGGATCAATGCATCGGATCCAACACATGAAGAACTACAGCAAGATTTAAGGCGTCCCGAAGGTGAAATCTCAATGCTGAAGCAGAACATTGGAAACCAAGGTGATCGCATTGTGATGTTGCTATTTTTTGTGTCTTCGCTGCTTGTTCATACATGTTCAAGTAGTAGAACTGAGTAATGGTTTAGTTTGAGAACTGAGTTATGGTTTATGTTTTTGGAATCTTGATCACACGATCATTCTCGGCTTCCTAGTTTAATGGTTTGCTTTTGACACCTGTAATGTGATGTTGCTACTTATGTTTTCGGATTCTTTAGTAGAATGGTTTGCTTTTGACATTGACTTCGTTTTAATCTCTTTTAGCAGTTTGTTAACATTACTTCTTTTAATTTTTTTGTGAGCTTAACTCGGAGACCTTGAGAAAACTGGTTGAGTTGAGATCCAACTGATAATTAAGTCCATAAAAGTAAAGGTCAACCCTTCTCTAACTAGTACTTAATTAGTATAGTTACCAGAACCAGTTAGTAAATATAGTTTGGTGGTTTAGTATTGGTAGTTTGGTTTAGGTTATCCATAGTAATGAATGCTAGTTACTTTTGTTAGGTATATGTCTAATGTTTAATGTTTGATAGTTCTGGTTGTGGTGTGATAAAGGTTTTAAGTAAAAGATTTAAAACTTAACTCAAAATACATCAATACACCTATTGCAGATAACCTTTTAAACTACTTCATCATTACAACCCTTCAAACCCTTAAATGAAAACTTCGCTCATAATTCATCAATACACTTATTGCAGATAACCTTTTAAACTACTTCTTCATTACAACCCTTCACACCCTTAAATGAAAACTTCGATCATCTCTTCATAAACACTCGAAAAACTTCACACTTCTCTCATCTCTTCACACCTCTACAACACGTCAAACTTCTCTCATCTCTTCACACTTGTAAAAACTTAAAACTGTTCTCCTCTTTTTCAACTTCGAAAGACTAAAAACTTCTAACCACAGCTATGGATTGTCAGAATTATTCAGTCAAACCAAAGGCTTTATCAACCTCCTCAGCAGTCAGCTTGTTCACGACCCATACTCTCCTTGTATTGAACTTGGATCATCACAGGTTCCTTTGTTCAGTACACAAGGTACCGATGGTCCAAGTTTAGGTGGCGATGATCGTAAGGTTAGAAGAGTGTGGATTCCCAAGGAAGATCTAATCCTCATTAGTGCATGGCTTAACACTTCCAAAGACCCCATCGTTGCTGCTAATGAACAGAAGGCTGGTGCGTTCTGGACCCGGATCCATCGTTTCTACAACTCAAGTCTTCTACTAGTCGACCTCCCCAAATGTGATGTCAGTCATTGCAAGCAGCGCTGGGGAAGGATAAACGACCACGTCTGTAAGTTGTAGGGTCATATGCGGCTGCTACAAAGGAGAAAACATCAGGGAAGAATGAGAATTATGTGATGAAAGCCGCAAACAAAATTTTTTTCAATGACTACCTCTTCAAGTTCACCCTCGATCACGCATGGAGAGAACTCCGCCACGACCAGAAGTGGTGCGCAACACCCGCGATGAAGGATGGTGGAAAGGGAAAGCGAAGGAAAGTGGAAGCGGGGACAGGTCAAAGCTCTATGCCTGAAAACGTTGGTGATGATGTCGCGCAGGTTAGGCCACCAGGTGTGAAGGCATCAAAGAGCAAAGGGAAAAGTTCAACCAGTCTGAAAAAAGAGAGTGAAGAGGTAGTGGACTTTGGTAATGTGTGAGAAATCAAGCAAAAGGATTTAGCACTCAAAAAGGAGATTGTAAAACACAAGGTACTAGATCGGCTACTAACCAAAACTGAGCTGTCTGAAAATGAAACGGCACTTAAAAACAAACTTATCAATGAGCTGTTGTAGAACTTTGAATGAGTTCAGCTATCTGTCTTTGTTTATGTTTAGTAGCTGGTTTTAATGTGTTTTGTTAGTCCTAATGTGTTGTTTGTTTTTAGTAGCTACTTAAGTCTTCCTTGTATTATTTGTTTTTTATTTGGTATGATGTATTTGGGGTCCTTCCTATCATGGTTTAAATTTAATGAAGAATGTTTTAATTTGTTCCTAGTCCTCTATCAAACATGACTTTAAGTGGTGTGTTTTGCATCAAAGAGCAAAGGTTGGTGATGCATTTTCGACCATTCATACTAATTTGTATTGGTTTTATTTGTATTGACAGGATATTTTTCGATGCAAGGAATACTTGAACACAAGCATTTTGCCTTGCCTTTCCCGTGACCAGAAGCAAACAAAATGGATGGGCCATGCGTTTTGTTTCATCCACTTGTATTGAGAATATTTTGTAGTGCATTGTTAACCATATGTTTATTTGAGTTTTTGTAAGCCACATATTGTAATGTTTGTATTTTATGTATATATACAAACGCATTATCTCATCGACCAAACATCTTCACCTAAAATTCTCTCATATATCTCTCTTCTTTCCACATACCAAAATTACTTTTTTCTCAGCTATCAAACACAACAATGGCATCTTCAAGCGACAATGAGCTAGACGAGTCATTTGATGAAGCTTTTGATCAAATTTTAGATCAGAAATTTGATAACATGTTCAACAATATTCTGGAACGCCATGCAGCAAAGAAAAAGAAGAAGAAGCGAGTTTACATAGAAAGAGTCAAAGAGATCGCGAGCAAGGGCATCTCCAATTATGGAACAATTATTTCTCTGAAGATGCCACTTATCCGCCACAGATTTTTCGACGCCGTTTTAGAATGAACAGGAATCTGTTCCTGCGTATTGTTGACCGACTTTCTCAGGAAATTCCATATTTTTAGCAGAGAAGAAACGATCATGGAAGGTTTGGTCTATCTGGGCTATAAAAATGTACGGCTGCAATACATATTATGGCGTATGGTTATGCCGCTGACGCGGTAGACGAGTACCTCCGTCTCGGTGAAAGTACTGCAATCCTATGTTGGGAAAATTTCACAGACAGAATCATACAATTGTTCGGAGATGAGTACCTGCGAAAACCCACACGAGAAGATCTGCAAAGGTTGCTCCATAACGGAGAGATGCGTGGATTTCCCGGTATGATAGGAAGCATTGATTGCATGCATTGGGAATGGAAGAATTGTCCTACAGCTTGGAAAGATCAATATACTTGTGGTGCCGGAAAACCAACAATCGTCTTAGAGGCTGTAGCATCACAGGATATATGGATATGGCATGCTTTTTTTGGACCTCCAGGTACCTTAAATGATATTAACGTTCTCGATAGATCATCTGTTTTTGATGACCTTTTACAAGGACGAGCACCAAAAGTGCAATACTCGGTCAACGGACACCGGTATCATTTACCGTACTACCTCACATATGGTATATATCCTAAATAGGCTACATTTATCCAATCCATTCGACTTCCTCAAGATGAAAAAACGCGGTTGTTTGCTACAACTCAAGAATCTGTACAGAAAGATGTCCAACGTGCATTTGGAGTGCTGCAAGCTCGATTTGCAATTATAAAAAATCCAGCTCTCATATGGGATAAGGAAAAAAAATGGAAAAATTATGAGAGCATCTATCATATTGCACAATATGATAGTAGAAAACGAGCGAGGTGGCTACATTCTGTATAATACAAAAGACTTTGAACCCGGAGAAGGATCTAGCTCTTCACAAGAGGATATGACGTACTCTACGGATATGGCTTCAAATCTCGGCAATCTCATCGGCTCTTCGATCCTCATCCGGAATCAAATTCATGATAGACAAATACATGACCAATTGAAAGATGATTTAATTGAAAATATTTGGAACAAATTTGGATAGAGAGTTTAAGAAGTACAACGTTTTATTTAATATTTGTATGTTTCTATGTTTTAATGTTTGTATGTTTTTTATCTTATGTAAGTTTTTAAAATTTAATAAAATAAACATTATTTCTTAAATTTCTGATCACAAAAAGACAAATAAAAAAAATCAAAAACAAAAAAATTTAAAAAAAATATTATTTTTTAATATATAACAACCCAGTTATGGGTTTTCTAATGGAAAGACAAAAGAAGGAGAGTATGTTAATTTTGTTTTAGTTGGAAATCAATTAATAAAATAATTATAATAACCCCAAGTGGAGGTTCTCTAATAGAGCTACTCTAAATATAATTATATGTATTATAAATAGCCGGCCTGAGAATTTGAAGGCCGCAAGCCAAAATGGGGAATGCTGACCTACTAGTAGATCACTGTTCCATTTTCATACGCTGACCACCAGACTATGCAAACACTATTGTACAAAGTGGCCGCAATAGTTATATTGAGGGCAATAAGCCCAAGCTTCCCCTGCTTCGTTTCAAAAGCAGTTCTATATCATATTTTTATAGAAAAATGATAGATAGCTATATGAACTACATGGCCACACATGCACACTATATTAATGCATCACTAACTATACAAAATAAGTTAACATAAAGATTTGTATGAATTAACAAAAATTAGGTGATTAATATCATAAACATATCGGGAGTTAACTGAACAGTGTACCGGAGGAATAATTTCAGCATACTATAAATTCATGTATCAAGAACTATATGACGATATAACAAATATACCCATAACTACACGATGTATAATTAATATATCCAGAACTACAAGACAATGTTATATGTAGCTGAATACAGCACCAATTGATAATGCTATATATAAACAATAATCCCAGTTGATATGAGTTTGACAATGCTATACATAAGGAGTAACAAAGAACCCATTTACGAACATTTGAGCTGATCTTACAACAATCACCACTTCAAAATGTAAATGAAGTAGCTCACAACTTTATAGATTCGTGAACAGATGAAACTCATTTAGGAATCACAACAACGAACACTTGGTGGATAAAAGACTCAGTATTGGTATTTAACAGACATGACGAGAGCTTTCTAGATGAAATGCATAAAAGCAATCAGTAACATAACAAACAAACACAAATAATTATACATCATATGATCCGTTTTGCTGTTGTATTCGGCTATATATAACTGGATACATCAATTACACATCATGTTGTTCTGAATACATTAATTATACATTGAGTAATTTTGAGTACATTAATTATATAGTCGTGTAGTTCTTGATACATGAATTTATAATGTGCTGGAATCCTTCATCTGGTACACTGTTCTGTCAACTCTTGATATGCCTATGATATTAATCATATAATTTTTTTCAATTCATACATGTTGTTATGTAGATCATATAGTTCGTGTAGTTAGTGATACATTAATGTAGTCTGCATGTGTGGTCATATGATGGAGTATAGTTTGGTGTAACTAACTATTATTTTTATCTAATATTTCTTAAGATATCATAACTGAATACAAGGTAGAAGACATTGGTGGAATACAGTGTGAAATACTAAGCTGACAGGTCCAAAACTTCCAGAGACGAAACCCCAAAAGACTAGGAAAACTAAGATACATCAAAGAAAAAAACCAAACCTAGTTTGACTGGTTAAACGCAGCAATTGCGGTTGCAAGTGTGGGAGTTTACGGAAGCAGGCGATTGCGGTTTTGAGCGTTATTAAGCGGTTTGCATGACTGGTTAAACTTTTTAAGGCGGATCCGATTGCGGGACATTTTTGACTGGCAAACCAGCGGTTGTTTTAGCGGTTAAACATAAAATTACCAAAATAAACATCATATATAATAACAAAAAATAGAAAACTATATTATTATGATTAATATCACAATTACTAATTCAAAATAATTAACAAAAATATAATTAAATACTAAATAATTATTTTAAAAATTTCTAATTTTTATAATAACATGTTTATTTTAATTATTGGAAACATCATCCAAAATTGTGTCTAGTAATGTAATAGACTGGAAAAAAATTGTTTTAATACGTGGATTTTCTGGATTTGTTTTATGCATGATGTAAAATTTCTTCAATTGATCTAATCGATTTTTTGCACGACCCCAACTCAAATCAACTCCAAATTGCTTATTAGTATTCTTCAAAATTTGTTCTTTATGGAGTGCACTCAAAAATCTAGGATCTTTATTTTGAGTTTGTTTTTCCATAATGTTCCGTTAAAATAACGCATATTTCATCTCGTTTGATCATGTAACTTTCTTAAGAACAAAAAAAAGAATTATAACAAACTAATTTTGTAATTAATAGGATACATATTTATAATTTTTTACTTTAAAAGTGGAAACAGAAAAATTAATATAAATGAATTAAATCAAAGTATTATGACATTTATGCTTGTATCTTAATTTTCTTCAACTAGTATCAAAGTCATGATTAGAGACTAGAGCTTGATAGAAAAAGTGATAGTTTAGGGTTTATATATATAGGAGAAGATTAGTAGGGTTAGGGTTTTATAATTTTTTTTAACGTGATCTTCCATTTTTTTTCTAGCGTGATTTTTTTTCTTATCCAACCGCTACCGCCCGCAATCGCAAACGTTTGCGCGAAGCAGCTTTTGGATTTCAGCGATATAAAATGATACATAGCGGTTTGTAGCGATTTCTATGATTGTGATAAAACACCACTTACTGCTACTAACTGCAACCGCAGCGTTTGCGGATGATAACGGGTGAACCAATCAACACCTTAAAGATTAGATTGAATTACGGAAGAAACCAAAAAATGTTTTGTATTATGATACCATAATGAATAAAATATATGTATTTTATTTAGTTTTAGAAAAGAAAACGTAAAAATCTAGTTTCAAAAGTTAAGATCAATAAATTCATATATAGGAAAAAATTATTGTTTTTGTTATAATAATATGTATAATTTATTATAAAGATAAAGATAAATAAAGACGAAAATTTTATACCCACAAAAGAACAGAGTTACGAATAAAGAGCGAACGAGAGAATGAGAGAGAGAGGAGGAATGTTTTTTATTAGGTGAAATTAATTCATTATCCGGTCAATGTGATCATGTCACTGCTAAGTGAAAATGATTGACGAACGGTCACTGTGATCATGTCGCTGCTAAGAAAGAAGGAGTGAAAAACGGTCACTGTGATCATGTCATTGGCTAGAGGAAAGGAGTGACGAATGTTCATTGTGATCGTGTCACTGATAGGAGAGTACGAATGACGAACGGTCATTGTCATCATGTACCTGAAAAGAATGGGAGTGACAAACGGTCACTAGAGAGAGAGTCTCAACATCGACTATTCGTCTTTGTCAATCGGTTTAACATCGACCAGTGGTTTATTAGTCGTTGGTTCATATTCTTGAATAAACCGTCTAGAAAAGTTGGAGCGACCGACCGACATGAGCTCCCAATTCAAAGGAAAATATGAAAATACCGACCGAAATATAAAACCTAATACAATAATAATTAAGATTGATATAACCCTATAAATAGAAAAGTCTTAGAGCAAGGACGGACACACAAACACATACTGCAGAAAACCCTAAAAACTCTATTCCCACAACAGTGAACCGAACGACCAGATCTCTTTGTACCTTCGCTCTCGCCAATCGACGACGACTACCAAGCGACGGATGATACCAACTTACTTTGATTTTCGATATTGATTTCTTGTAACTCAATATTCGTTGATTAATAAAGATCTATCTCTTCTCGTCATTCCGTAGGACTATTCACACACGAACCGGTTAAAATTTGCCCAAACAGTTTGGCGCTAGAAGGAGGGGAAGTCTTAACTACGTGAGATATGACAGAAGGAGATAATTACGGAAACACCACCCCCGACATTCATGCTACTCAACTGGAGGACTCACCGCCCAGATGAAGCAGTATGAAGAGCGACTTGCACAACTGGAAGCAGAAAACGCTTCCTTGAAGGAGGTGAACGCTTCCTTGGTTGATGATGGAAACACGACAGCCGACGCTCGTGCCAGATTCCGAACTTGTGTTCCCCGTATGTTGCCGATGGACGATCCTCTCACGGCTACAATGGGGACCGCTGCAGATAATTTCACAAAGCGTTTGGAAGCTATGGAGCTCTTAATCGCCCGACTTCCCCGTGTGGCTCCTCCAATCGCGAAAAGCGCTCCTAACTCCTATGCAGATACTCCATTTACGGATGCGATCGCATTGACAGAGATGCCAAAGAAGTTCACACTTCCTTCGATGAAGATGTATAATGGAACAACAGATCCCGATGATCACATAGCATAGTATAAGCAACGAATGTTTACCACAGTAGTTGCAAAAGAACTTCGCGAAGCTACCAAGTGCAAGGGGTTTGGTTCAAGTCTTACTGGACCAGCTCTCCAGTGGTTTACAAACCTACCTAACGCTTCAATTGACTCTTTTGCATCACTGACAGATCGCTTTGTTGAGTAATTTGCAAGCAGTAGAAACTTGGAAAGGACTACTGACAATCTTTACGAGGTCATTC